AGCCGCCTAGGCCAGCATGGCAGGTGTTTTACCGCGTCTCTCATGTAGTCCCTTGTTCTGGGAGAGATAGCGTCACTGTAGTGGATGGGATCCCACCACCTGCCAGCCAGCCAAGGAGGGCCTCCGACCGACCAACCCCCAGGGAGGGAGAGGACCCAGGGACGGTAGACCGAAGTCAATACCCCCGGGTGGGAGAGGAGAGAGGAGCCAGACTCCCCTAGGCCGAGGCCAAAGGCAGGAGTGGGCGGGAGGGAGGAGAATGTTTCGCGATGAAACAAAAAACTCACGATAAAAACCGTGGTGTTGAGTTTTCAATCGCTGGAGGTGTAGCGGAGACGGAGGATGGTCTGAAAGCTAAGAAGGTACCTCAATATTTATATTCCATGTCTGGGTGGTCGCAGGCTACATCTATCTATTACCAAATAATGCAGTGTTCTCGATTTCTATCCTCTACTATTGTATGGGGAATCGATTTAACCCTGGTCAACTTTGCGTCTTGCTTGAACTAATGTCTCCATGCATTGTCATGTTTCCGCAACGGCATTTGAAACCTCTCCAGCGAAAACCCACGATTCCTTCATCTCGGAGGTTTTGGTATGAGTGAGTGGTCTCACTTCAAGCCAACTCACGATCCTCCTTACTCTGACTGGAGTGATCAGCTCCGTCAAGAGTCTTATCAAATACCTCGTTGACTTCGCAACTTGACTGCATTGACTTTTAGGACTTTCCGCCATGATTGGACTAGTCAACGTCGTAGAAAAGTTCCTTACCCACAGATAGGCCTCTGGTTGGCTCTATACTGTGCGAGCACTAGACTGGGCTCCATGCCTCATCCATACAGCCACATCCCGATAACTCATTGGACTGTTGGCCATTTCGTCCCAACACCTTCTGTCCATGTCTGAGGTGGTCAACCTCGCTTAGCTCATAGCTCCACGGTTACCAGTCCAAATAACTCCGTTCCACTTTTCAGTCATGGCCTGAGGTCCCCCATTATGTATCCTGCGAACAGCCTCCGGTCGGATAGACAGAGACGACATATACAGTGTTATGAAGCATGCTTTGCTTTCACCGGTTTATACTGTCAGGACACCGAATTCCAGTGACACTATTACTGCGCGCAGGGCCAACGGCGGGGCCAGAGGCGGGTGTTGGCTGTGAAATCTTCCTGGTTTTTCAGGAGGTCTGTGCAGGGGAGGTCTTTGCATTCATATGTATAACACCGGCCCTCCCCAAGGCAGCAGCATACTTCAATGCAATGTACTCCAGTACTACCCATTTGGTCCCTTACACATCAGTATATGGACGAAATTACCCCCTGCTACCTCGCACCATCTTCAAGGAGTCTGCAGTCCCTACCTCTGATAGTTACCTCAACTGGCATAATACCCTACGAAATGATGCCTACCAGGCACTAAGGACTGCTCGATTCCGGAATACAACACAGATACAGAAAAGATGAAGATTCTACTAGGCCATACCCCCTGGTGCCATGGTCATGGTACATGCTAACCTGTTCATCCCCGAGACAGGTAGAAGTAAGAAACTCCAACCCCTCTGGCAAGGTCCATTCAAAGTACTCGAATTTGACAGCAATACCGACAATTATACCATCAAGCTAGAAGGACGAGTGTACCGGCAAGGCAAGGCAGTAGTTCACTCAACTACTGTTCAGAGGTGGCACCCAAATAATGATAGCAGGTTCCCAGGATGCTGCCACTCCCGACCAGCCCCTCTACTTATCCACAACCAAGATGAATGGGAAGTAGAGGAGGTACTGGACCATAGGAAGAGCTATAGAACCGATCAGTTTCTGGTTAAATGGAAAGGATATCCGGACTCTGAAAACAGCTGAGAACCAGTGGCAGGACTTGAAAATGCGATGACGCTAGTATATGAGTGGTGGGAAGCCAACATGCCTGGAGAACAACTACCCCCTACCATAAACCATATCACGATACCTTGGACACCTACCTTACCTACCACACAACGAATATACAAAGACCCCCCTACCAGGCTAGACTTCTGGGTGCCTTTTGATACAAATGAGTTTGAAAGCAGCAGTAATGAAGACCCAGTGATGGCTGATGTTATTGAAACCTTTATCTAATGACACTCCTTCTATCCAACTGCCTTAAAGATGGAAAACTATGAGGAACTCAATGTGAGGCTACCCCATCAGCTTGTGGGACTGTTGGTAGACCGCGGTGCTATGCTACTAGAAAACTACTTTGATATCCTCTTGGTGGATTATTGTCTGGAATGTAAGGACCTATTAGTGGAAGTATAGGCAAGAGTAGCAGGAATCCGCGATTACTGTGATTTTTATTTCCTTTATTCCAATTGCTTTTTTCAAATGCGAATATGTGTATTTTGTGTTACTGATGGGAATTGGGCATTAGCCGCAGAGGATTATGGCGAGGATTTTTATGAGGATTTTGATTTTCCAGATTATTGATTTGTTTAAGCAAACAGATGTTTTTTTTTGGGGGGAATGTAACTGGAACTGGAGTTCAGTCCGTTCAGTTCAAGGAATTGTTTTATATTTTGTTTTATTTGTAGTTTTCAAGTATCCTTTAATACTCAGTTTGTTTTACTTGGGGTTCCGAGTATCCTTTGATACTTAGTTTGTTTTACTTGTAGTTTTAAGTATCCTTTGATACTCAGTTTATTTTACTTGTCGTTTTGAGTATCTTTTGATACTCAGTTTTATTTGTGGTTTTGTGTCAGGAATATGTGGGAACTCGTCCATACAGGACATGGACGAAATCTTGTATTTAAAGACCACTGATTCCCTGAAAGGAATAGCAGACTTTGACGGACAGAGTATTTCTAATATACTTGGTTGAACATTTACCTCTTCAAGTCCCTATTCTTTATATCTTTCACTCAGAGCCTCCCTTAGCACAGTATGCCCATAGGTTGTAGATCAACTTGTACGCTATATCTATTGTACCCAGAAGCATGACTAGCACTCCAGTACAAACATATTACACCCAAGACTCAACTAGCAAGGGGTCATAACAGAGGAGAGTAGACAGTCACACGTCTGGAGAGTATCTGGACACAACCAGGTACTGATGCAACTGTCAAGATGCAACAACTGATTTAGCCTACATCCTGATTAACAGTTTATGTCCTGTGCATCCCATGCATCTGATGCACAGGACATACAGGATACAAGAAGGAATTTTTGCTCATATGTGAAAGGAGAATATAACACCAGACCATGATGGGGACATGGTTCAGATCATAGATGAAATATTCACGGGGTGTCCAGCTTTTGGAACCAGATACCATAATATCCAAATCAATCAATAGTACTATGTAAATGTCCAGATAGGAGGACAAATATACCAGAACTGCCCAAAATTGTCAAGTAGATAAGGTATCAAGTCCAGACAGTAAGGTGCGCAGTTAACTGAGTTAGTATGCGAGAGGAGAATTCAGTATTGGGATCAGGATAGAGAATAGGAGGAGTTAGGTAGTTACAGTACGATGTGCTCAGGTGTTGGAGGATTAGGACAATGAGGGGGTACGGCATAGACAGTTAAGATGTAGTGGGCATTGGGGGCAATGTCTAGATGGATGTAGGGTGCAGCAATGAGAAAGTGTGGAGCTTGGGCACTAGTGCATCATAGCGCTGCATCCTAAGTAATGGTTTATATCCTTTTTTGCTGATACTCCTCCTTCTTTTGTAAAAGCTCCATGAATGTCATACTCTCTCAAGAGCCTTCAGGGAATCTTGCCAGTTCTCTATCTCTATGGATATCCATCAAGCAACCTAGAACATCATCAAAGTCATCCTTGTCTGTGGCTCATTTCTTTTAAGCTAAAGATCAGTTCCTGCTTAATCTTTAATCTGGTAAATGCTATGAGGTATAATTACCTTTGCTTGTTGAACAATTCTCCTTGCAGTATCCTTATTAACACTTACTTTTGTAGTAATCACCTTAAAACTTAGTCCACCATGCTAGCTTAATATCAAAATTACCACTCTTTTTAGGATTGGAATACGAGCAGCTGACCTGGGACCTTGTGGCATCTTCAAGTACTGCAATTGAGCAATTCTTGACTTGTAGGTAGGGACTTTCAAGATTCGCAGTAATCTGGCCTTTCGTTGTTTCAAGGGAATGGAGGTAAATGTCATCCAGGTTCTTGAGGTTCAGAGTTTTATTAGTGTGGTTGCAAGCATCGTTCCGCACCATGTTTTATTGGCTAAAATTCCCGAGGATGAGCGATTCCATAATAGGAACTGGCAGAGCAAACCGGCGCCGTGAGTAGGTGCGGAAGTCGATGGTAACTTACTAGCTCGCTGAGAAGCACGAGTATGACAGTACGAAACACCGGTATTGCCAAGTACCATATGCGATACCTGAATTTTACATTTAACAATTCCATCCCCACTTCTAGTCAGTACTTTCGCTGCCGCCAAGACGCTGCGATGTTACCTCTCCTTCCGCGAGAACTTTACGAACGGAGCTGAACCGGTAGTCGAGGTCTTTTTTTTTGTAATACCGATCGACAGGACGATGCTGCCTGGGGTACTCGAGATGTGTCAAGAGGGTGGAAAAGAGCACTCGGATACGGTACAGTACATAAGACACAGTACAGTACGAGAGCAGTGCACTGGGTGTGTTTATAATCCCTCATCTGAGTCTTCCGCCGAGCTTGCTTGCTCCGTCGGACTGCGCCGTGCGATGCGGTGTGCTTTTTGGGGGGCACAGTGTCGGCACTCGAGTTTGCCACCCACCCACCATCCCCTCTAATACCCTCCGAACAATGACAAAAGGAGATAGGAATATGGTAACGTTACGATATCCACGCAACGCAGTGCAGAAACAGAAAAGGGACAAAAGATGAAGAAGCAAGCATTAAGTAATGACGTTATCGACAACAAAATAGGGTATCCGTGAAATGAAATCAATAGCAGCACATGGTTTGGCTATGCACGCATGCAGAGTAATCCCGGAGCTTTCCTCCTCCTCGATCGTTCGCCACGCATTTCCCGAAGGGTAGACAATGAGACAAAAAAGACAAAATACCGTGACCGAGGAAAAAAAAAGATTCCTGGTGTCCCGAATCCCTGATCCACTTTGTGGCAATACGCTATCCTTGGTATCCTTTGGTTTCCATATTAATAGGTTACGGTAGCCAAGGGCATTCTAATGAATGCCTAGAGGGGGGTGGGGGTAAAATAAAAAGCATATACAAAGTATGTGGGGGAGTGATGATAACGATGACGGGGAAGATAGAGAGGGGTTTTTTAAGCTTTCAATCTTTGTGGTGGGACGACGGATCCGACGTCTTTTCTTGAATCCACTATCAGGAATCTGACAGATGGTAAATTTTTCGTCAGCAAGGGCGTACGTAGTGGACGTGGCAACCAGGGCAAGGTGAAGGGAGGATGGAAAGAAGAGCAAAATGCAAAACGTAAGACAAAGCAGTCGGCAGAGGGAGAGTTGCTACGTACCTATACCACCACATACCCGGCAGGATCGTGGCGGCATGCCAGAGGCTGTGGGCGTCTAGAGCCCCAGCGACAGGTGGAAAATCGAGCAGTTCCAGGCTCATAGCCATAATCAACCACATAACGATCAGACCAGGCCAAGCGGCCCAGAAGCTCTTCAGTCTTGTGTAGTGCCGAATGGACCAGTACGTCCACAGGATATTCGTAATGGATCCCACAACGACGTTGGCGGTCATGTTGTAAGTGTAGTCCCAGCGGACGCCCAGGAGGAAGAAAAGGTGAACAGCGTAAGCAGCGATGCACACCATCCCCCAGATACGCAGAATACGCGCATAGGTTGGCCTATAGAGCCTGAATATCCTGATTGGAGCGAGATACAGGCCGTAGAGGACATTAGCGCCAGCAGCAAAGTAGTCCATTCTCTCCGTAAAGACGAAGTCACGCGTGTGGAAGACGGTGGACCAAAGCCAGCAGAACATGCCAAAGATGCTGAAGAGCCTGTAGTATGGGTAGAGCGGGTATGAGCGAGGTAATTCGCGCTTGAGGCTTTTCAGGCCAGCATAGTGGACATGGCCGTTCAGGATCGAGAAGAGCACGCTAAAGGGCTCCTGGACGCCCCAAAGTCGTTTGAATGGCCACTTTCCATGGAATTGTTCGATTGACTGGCCACTCCCAACTCGTGAAGCGGTGACGGACCGTTGACATGCATAATCGCATTCGGAGGGGCAATTCCAAAGGAGGAGACGGAGGTGCAGAGGGAGCGGAGTCTTCTCGGAAAGACAGTTTCCCTCTTTGCAGCCCTGCAAGAGGAATTAGGAGTTACGAAGCGTGATCACCAGAACCAGGGAGAAGGGAGGAGAAAAAAGGGAAAAGGAAAAAGAAGCGAGCATGGAGAGATAAGCGTGAGATGGAGTTGGAGATGGAGAAGATAGGATAGGTGGGCAGGTGGGCAGGTGGGTAGGTGGGTAGGTGGGTAGGAGAAGAGGAAGAGGCAGATAGATGGTCAGGAGATCCGAAGGGGATTGAGAGGGAGGGGGGGAGCTGAACCTGCACACAATCCTTGAATTCCGGGAGACGGTCACCTCGCGAAGCGGCTGCTGGGGTAGCGAGCAGGGCAACAGCAAACAAAAGGAAGGAAAGGATGGCCAGGACGCGGCATAAGGACCCTGATGACGATGAGGATGACGACGAAGGGAAGTGAGTGCGGGGTAACAGCCACATGGCTCAGGCGGCGAAGAGGGGAATGGAGGGAGGGAGGGAGGGGGAGGATGGGAGAAGGTATGATGATATGAATGATGAGTGGTGGAGGGGAGGGGAGACTGGAGCTCGCGTGCCCAAACAAAGAGGGAAAAGGAAGCAACCGGGGCCAGCAGGCAATTGACAACCACTGGTCTACGGATGCTGTACCGGTGCGAGTACAGTACTCGTACAGTGCTCTACCGGCATGTGCCGTACTGTATCGTACCGTGGTAAGGTACCGCTAGTTTATCATACAAGCAATTGACTACTACCGGCACGATAGTGGTCTAACTACGCGCCCACTCACCCACTCGAGTGATGGGATGCGCACAGAGCGGAACGCCCCAAACCGCAAGCAAAGAAACCAGGAACCCATGCCCTTGAGAAAGAGAATTCCGGAAAAGGGCTGGAAAGGGAGAGACTTGCAATGGGTTGTACCGGTATCGTCTTTCGTGATATACGTGTGTTATTCTTTTAGCCCCCAATATCTGGCAATACGGTAATATCATACCCGTACAAGTACTTGTGCCGTCTAACTGCAACCGCAACATTTAAAACCCCTATTTGGCAAACCGGGATTGGGATCGGCCCTATTTATCCGGGCCCTTCCCCGCCACTTGATCCAGTTCAGTGTCTGCTGCCCACGGAAAGGAGGGGAGGGGAGGAGGGAAGAGAAGAAAAGAGAGAGGGAGAGGGAGAGGGAGTGAGAGAGTGAGAGAGTGAGAGAGTGAGAGAGTGAGAGGGGAGGCGGGGGAAGAGATGCCACATTTGTGTTACCATTGACGGTTTCTTGTGATAGCATTTGCATGTTCTGGAAAGAACCCTTCGAATCGGGTTCTCCGTCTGCTGGGTCTCACTTTGGCAACTTCCGTTCGCGATGGCCCGTCTCCACATGCTCCCTTTAGGGACAACCCCAGATGTACTCCTACTAGTACCGTGCTCGAGCACGGTACACAGCAAGCACTGGCCCAGGTGTGATCGAGTGCTTGTACGAGTACCATGTACGGCATGCACTCGTACTCGAGTAACCATGGCTACCATACTTAGTCAACCGGGCCTGCCCGTACTGCACGAAGACTGCTTCTCGTATATTACTAAGGTAGTAGTGACACTCTTGCGTCGATGCTAGCCAGTCATGCTAGGTATCGGGGGGAGCTTCTATTCCCTCACAAGGGAACAAAGCGTAGCATATGATAATGTGCCGGTTGTGTTGTAACTTTCAGGTGCGGCTCGAGTAACAAGGTATTTGGTAGAAAGGTGCTCCAATCCCTTATCCTGTATTCTCGTTCAGGCACTTTTAGCTTTGT